TTCCCCTCACCGCATCCCCTTCCCACAAGCCCAGAGAAACCTTCCAGGAGGTGGGCTGACAAGATATGTGCAACAGTGATTGTAAGTTTGGCTTCCAGGCTGTTGTCCATGGGGGATCTAGTAGGTTCTAGCTCTGTGTAAGGGTCCAGAAATAAGCTGCACTCACACACACACACACACACACACACACACACACACACACCCAGGCTGTTGTACATGGGGGCTCTAGTAGGTACACACACACACACACACCACCCCCACCCCCACCCCCACCCCCCAAGCAGCAAAGAGGCAAGTCACGGTAAAGCATAGAGTCACTTCAAAAGAAACGAAGTGGGTCCACCCTCTGGGTCGAGAAGGGACTTTGTCCACCGGAACACTTGTGGTTTTAAAAGGGCCTTTTCTTGCTGCTCTGTAAATAGTTAAGCAACTCTCTAATTAGTGAGTCAGTCTGCCCTTGGATCGCACACACCATTTCGTTCAGATGCATCGGGACTGTGGCTCTGGGCCAGCATGGCTCAGAAGGAGACAGCTGAGTGCAGCCCTGGCTTCACGGGTAAGGTGTTTCCCAAGCTGGTCCTCATGGAGTCCTCTCTCTCTCTTTATTTTTAAAAATCATTTTATTAGGGGCTCATACAACTCTTATCACAATCCAGATGTACATCCATTGTGTCAAGCACATTTGTATATTTGTTGCCATCATCATTCTCAAAACACCTGCTTTCTACTTGAGCCCTTGGTATCAGCGCCTCCTTTTTTCCCCTCCCTCCCAGCTCCCCTCTCCCCTCCGAACCCTTGATAATTTAGAAATTATTATTATTTGGTCATATCTTATACCATCCGATGTCTCCCCTCACTCACTTCTCTGCTGTCCGTCCCCCAGGGAGGAGGTTATATGTAGATCCTTGTCATCTGCTCCCCCTTTCTTCCTCACCTTCCCTCCACCCTCCTGATATCGCCACTCTCACCACTGCTCCTGAGGGGTTCATCTGTCCTGGATTCCCTGTATTTCCAGTTCCTATCTGTGCCAGTGTACATCCTCCGGTCCAGCCGGATATGTATGGTAGAATTGGGATCATGATAGTGGGGGGGAGCCCCTTTTCATTGCTTGTTCTCACAGGGTGCTTTGCTCATCCCTGTCCTTGACGGTGATGATGGTGCAAGACTCAGGAAGCTGAGGTTCTGTTTTATGCAAGGTTGCCACCATTCCCTGCCCCTTTAATGGCAATACGCAAAAACAACAAACAATTCGGAGTAAAAGCAACGTAAGGTGTTCTGTTTAAGAAAGGGGACATCCCCTAAGGGAATGATTGATAATGTTCTTTAATATAAAATGTCAACAATGTTTCTAAGGTGACCCAGAGATATATAAACCATCAATATATGGAGTTTGGATTTGCACCTCATTCTAGTCCCAGTCTAATTATGACATGGCCCCACTTGATGTTAGCCCTCATGAAGAGATCACGGAAGACATGGTGCCACAGTAAAGTGTGACAAAGAAACTAGATGGTGCCCGGCTATCAGAAGGACCAGCGTCTGGGGCCTTAAAGGCTTGTTTTCAAACAAGCAGCCTTCTAAGTGAGGCATCAACTAAGTCCACTTCCAATTAAGTGGAAGAAGTGCACCAGCCTGTGTGATCCAAGGACTGTAAATAATTGAACCCAAATCCGAAGGAGGGAACGCTTTCAGGCCTTAAATTGTGAACACCCGGTTTGCAGAAGGCTGTGGATGGCAGTGGAAGCCCAAAATCCATGTGCAGTTTCCCCACATGGATTAAGCCTCTGACCATAGTTGAAGGATGTGGATAGCTTTGCTACCAGACAGAGAACATTGCAACAGTTAATAGCAGATGAAGTTAGGTTACAATGTGGCATCTTATCATTCCATCTCCCTTTTGACCCATTTAAAATTTATTTCAGTTTAAAAAAAAAAGGAAAGAGAAATACCCTTGGCTCAAGTCTCTGGTGAATACTCTCTGACCAGAGACCAGGGAAATGAATAGCCTTGCTATCAGGCTAAAATTAACATCACCTGATCTCCCTTTTGACCAATTTAAAATTTGTTCTAGTTTTACTATTTTAAATTTAATTTAATATTTTAATTTATTTTAATTTCTTTTTTTATTAGTTGGGATTTAATACATATATCATATCATTCCATATTTCAAGCACGTCAAGTAGAATTGTATAATTGCTACCACAATCAGTTTCCAAACATTCCTTTTCTACAGGGACTCCTTGACATCATCTCACTTTTACCCCTCCCTCCCCCTACACCCTTGGAGCCCCCTCCCCCCTCCCTCTTATTCTACTTGCTGTCGCTATACGTTCACCAATCCTGGGTTTCATCTACTGAAAAGCGGAAAAGCATGTAATGAGACTTCAAGACGGAGACCTCCGTTGAAATAACACTTCTGCGATACACTCAAATACGAACAAAGAAAAACCAAACGGAACAATATGAATTAAAACTACAGAAAAATTTGGAAACCAAATCAAGTCCAGCCTGCATCGTAGGGGGATCTACTGTCAAAGTTTTAACTGTTCAGGTCAGATTTAGGCCTTTGATCTTCTATACTCCTCTCTCCCAAACACTGTCTGTTTAGTGACCACGTTCCTCCCATCCTCCATTTTAGACAAGGGGAGTTCTCCAAAGGCTTATTTCCTATGTAGTTCCACAAACGAATCCTGGCTCTCACCATCATCCATCGCCTTCTGCACCCTGGATTCTTACAATTTAGGCTCTGGTACTGATCCCTCCTTCATGTTCCCCTAAACAGGGCTGCCCTTCCCATCAGTAAGCCTCATCCGTCTGACAGGGGCCGCCTCCCTCTCTGGGGGACTTCTCCCCAGATCCACATGGCTACCACTCAGCAGACAGCACACCCGCCCACTCCCCCAACCATTTGATCCCAGTTGTCATGAGGCACACTCCTGTCAAGGGACCTACACTATACTTACCCTGTTTCCCCGAAAATAAGACAGTGTCTTATATTACTTTTTGCTCCCAAAGATGCGCTGGGCCTTATTTTCAGGGGATATCTTATTTTTCCATGAAGAAGAATACGGTACACCTTTATTGTTTGTTGTTTTATTAAAAGAGACCTCGCCCTTCTTGTCTGCTCCTGCCGCGCTGCGGTGTCCGCCGCTATGGTCCACAGTTCAGAGTTACGGTAGCTTCGGGGGGCCTTATTTACGGGGAGGTCTTATTTTCGGGGGATGCCTTATATTTCAGGGAGAGGCAAAACTGTAAATAGGTCTTATTTTCGGGGGATATCTTACTTTCGGGGAAACAGGGTAGGTGGAGCGGCATAATGTGTGTTCCATGGGCATTGGTCTGGCTCTCTTCCAGGCTGTCTGGTCCCCAGCCCTCCAGCCAGAAGACTGGGTGGCATGTGAGCTTGAGCTAGTGCCAGTTCAACTGCTTGTTCCTACAGCGGTGGGCTCGTACAGTGTTTGTCCTTCTGTGCTTGACCAACTTCACTCAGCATAGTGTCTTCCAGATCCTTCCATGTGTTGAGGTGCTTCACGGATGGTATCATTGTTATTTTTTAGGGATGCGTAGTATTCCATTGTGTGTATGTGCCAGGGTTTTTTAATCCACTCTTCTGCTGATGGGAATTTAGTCTGCTTGCAGCTTCTTGCTATTGTGAACTGTGCTGGGATGAGCATGGGGCCTGCTCCCTTTCCTGTGGAAGTCTTTATCTGTTCTACTTTGTTATTCTTGTTGGTTACGAGGCTGTTTACTTTTGTATGTTTTTTCTGTCTATGAAATCGAGGCTAGGTAAATCTACAGAGACAGTAATTTGATTAATGGTCCCTTGAGGGTATGGGGGTGGGGGGGATGGGTAGCTAATGAGTACAAGAAAGAAGAAAATGTTCTAAAATTGATTGTGGTGATGATTGCACAACTCCTCTTAATATGACTGAACTATTGAATTATGTGATTTATATGCCAATTTATATGTGTGAATTATATGCCAATGAAAGTTTTGTTTTTTAAAAGGGAAAGAAAAATCAAAAGGATGCATAATTAGGCGCTAAGCTGAGTACTGATTTAAACGGAGGAAAGAAATCACAACGATTCCTGGGGTTTTGGAAATTCTAGTCTCTTTATTCTGTTTCTCTGAAGTACTTGCTCAGACATGCTTTCTGAAGTTAGCCTGGCTCCTAGAACGTTGGCCCACGATGCCTGCACAACACTAGCTAATGAGGAGGTTTCCTGGGCCCGTGAGAGCCCACCTCAGGGACCCTCTGGGAGAGGAAGCCTGAGCAGCCGCCCTGCGACCCATTTGCGAATAGGAAGGCCAGCCTGGGAGCCTCAGAGCCATCCGCACGACCAAGACCTGAGATGACGGCAGCAGCCAGTGGCCCTGCGTCTCCTCGCCACCATTATCCAATCTTCGAGCTCCCAAATCACCAACCGTACCCCTGGCGCTTCTGGACAGACGTGCCACTTCAGGAATGCAATTGCTTGTGGACAGACATGCCACTTCTGGAATGCAATTGCTTGTGGACAGACATGCCACTTCTGGAATGCAACTGGCAAGGCAAATGCCATGCCACGCCATGCCATGCCATACCATGCCAATGCCATGAAACGAAAACCCGGGCACGTCATAGCTGCAGGACGGTGATGCGACAAGCGCTTGCCATGCCATGTTGACAGTGCCCACGCAAAGGTCGAACTCGGGCAGCGCAAGCC